GGAGGATGGTTCGGCCCGCAGCCAGAGACGGAGGCAGCGTGGTTAGTTGGTTATGACTTCCCCGTCGCGGTGTCAAGACTTCCTCCCCATCCCCGTCTGGGGAGGAAGGAGGTAACGGCGGAAAGCGCAGTAATCCCCCTCCATCGCCGGCACCATTTGTAGTATCATTATCATTTTTATCAGGCGTAGTATTACCACCCGTATGATCACTGTCCAACCCACCCTTCCGCTCCGCATATGTATCCACGACCCCCTCCTTCGTAACCCCTGAAGGAGACGAAAGCGGCGAAGAAGCCAGCGAAGAACTAACCCCCCTCTCCCTCTCCCTCCTCCCATCAGACCTCAATGGCCCCGTCCCCAACAACGCCGTCTTCCTCAACGACCCCTTCCGCCTCCGCGTCTTGCGCTGCTGTTGCTGCTGCCGCTGCTGCAGCGCACTGGCCATTGCATTTCCACCAGTAATAATACCAACGCCCTTGGCGGCCGCCGCTATTCCCCCTATTGCCCTGTCTCCTCTGTCAATATCCTGCCCATGTTGCGCATACACTTCTTCTGCATCGGTATCCGTGCCGGTTCCGATTCCGCTACTACTAGGGCTCTCAGGACTGCTAAGACTACCACTACCACTACCGGGGTTCACACCGCGCCCCAACGAGAGGCGCGAAAAGAGCGACCTGGATATGGTGCGTTTATGTCCGCTGGGACTCCCTCCGCTGGGTGTGGTGGTGGCGGTGGTGACTGGGCGTGGGCCGGGACTAGTTGATGCGCGGGTGCGTCTTGGAGATGTGGGTGGGTGTCTGGGTTCTTTCGGGCTTGCTGGGGCGGGATGAGGTGGTTGTGATTGTGATGGTGGAGGATGTGGTGGTCGTGGTGGTGTTAGCGGTTGTGTAGTCGTAGTAGTCGTCGTAGCGGGGACATTTTCCATCGGGGGGTTTTGGTTTTTTTTCTTGGGTGGGGCGGGATCCGGTTCCCACGCTGTAGGATATGGTATCAAGCGTATACTCGTTTACGTAGGTTAGGTAGGTTATATCTATAGTAGTATATATATGGCGGAGTGAGAACCGTTGGTGATATCCCCGGGGGTATGCGATGTCGGGATGTCTTCCGATGGATTCGTCGAGGTAATTGGGGAATTAACTTATTAACTGGTTGAATAGAGACGGTAGATAGAGAATTAAAATAAGAGAAATGAAATTTATTTATACAGAGATAGAGAGGGAATGAAAGTATTTGTTTTTTTTTCTTTTTTTGAAAAAAAAGGGTGGTGGTGGTGGTGATGAAGGTCGACGATGATGCTCAAAGCTCTCTCTCTCTCCGCACGCCGCCCGCGCTAGGCTAGTAACTTAGTTATCATTGGCGGTTATTTATTGACATATTGCAGCCAGCTTTAACTAAAACTACTCTCTGTACGGAGTACAATCGAAGTCATTACTCACAAAATAATAACAAAGCAACATAACTATCTAACAGAAGAATTAATAAGAGAGTATTATTAACTAATTTTTAATGATTGTTGAGGGGGAAAAATATAAAAAATATAAAATAAAAAAATAAAAATAAACACGAGATCCCTTTCATTCTGTGTGTGGCGGCGGTTGAAAATTAAAGACTTGAACAACGTGGTGAATGCAAGGAGAATATATAGCAATTAAAAAAAAGAATGAGGAAAAAGAGAAGAGAATAGACAAAAGAGAAACAGAAGCATGTGTACTAACAGCACAATCATTGCATGATGTACAGTTATATAAAAATGGATATCATAATCATCATCATCGTAATCATAATCATAATCATTATCATAACTATTATCAAAGCGACAAAGAGCCAAAATGATAGAAAAATGTCAATTGAACAACGTCAGATTTGGCAGGTTCATTAAAAACATACAAAGTGAAGGCGAGTGTAAGAAGAAAAGAGAGACTGAGCCAGAAATTTTTTTGGGAAAAATAAATTTCGCAAAATGGAAGTTGAAATCATAGTAATAATAACGGATCGAAGCAAGACATCGACAATCGTGAGCTCGGAAATAAATATGAAAATCCAACAAGTATTCAAGATGTGAACTGTTTTGAGACGGCAGAAGGAGAAAGACAAAAAGGGGGGTATTCTGTTTTGCTTGATTTGTAGGAGGGATTAAAAAAAAAAAAAAAAAAAGAGAGAACACGAACACGAACACGTAGGAAAACAGCAAAGTTACACCGGAAAAGAGTAGAAAAGACTAATAATAATAGAAGAGAATTTTTCATTTCAGAGAGAGAAAAAGGCCCAACCAACCGCTAAAGAAAAAAGGAAACAGCGGATTGGGCGATAATGGGAGAAACAAAGGACGAAGAAAACAACTTCGATATAGATATAAAGAGGGAAATTAGAAAAGAAACCTAGAAAACAGCGCGGAATGACGAGACCCATAATACTTTCGATAACTCAATGACAACAAATTTTTTTTTTTCGGAAGAGCAGACAAACACGAGACAGGTCAATCGAATGGCGTTAGAATAAAGCAAATTGCAGTAAGAGGGAAAAAAGGACAATAGTAAGGCGGGATAAGAAGCAGAGGCGGGAAAGGAAGGGGAAAACCAAACGCGGTAGGATGATAAATGAGGAAAAGATAAAAAGCAACAGAGCGATGAAAGAATCGGGTGGCTTGAAAGACGTTAAGGCAAACCAGGGAAGAAAAAGAGATATAATCGGAATGGGAAACAACAAAATTGAATACCTTCCTCACAAACAATTCAAAACAATCAATCTTAATAATATGTCGAGCTTGCGCGGCGGGGGTATTTTTATTATATTTGCTGTTTTGCAAGGAATGGACGTGGGTTAAAAAAGAAAATTAACCGAGTGTGTCATGCCATTCTAGCAGTTGCATTGCGCGCACAAAAGAACTAAAATAAAAATTAAAACGGAGGAATTTCGATGTTTGTTGTTCAGTGTCCTTTTTGCCTTAAGGTTGGTACCCTCCAAACCCATTCCCAAAGCTTCCACTATTCGGTTGAGCCCAGCCTGACGCTTGAGTGGACTGTCCGCGGCCGTATCCGGCCCGCCGCCTGGAAGTTGCTGACCGTAGCCTCCTGCGGCGGGCATCCCAGGGCCTCCACCAAAGTTTGTAGCTCCTTGCTGATCCCAGCCGCGACCGCCAGGGCTAGGTCCTGCACCGCCTAATTGGGAGAAGTTAGTCAGTACAAAAATCCTATGCTTTTGGGTGTAGAGGTGGGGAAGCTGTTTTGGGGGGGGGCACTAACTACTTACCTTGGGGAGTCATAGGGACGCTCGGGACCGCTTGTATTGTGGGAAATAAGGGACGAGGTGCATGGTAGTTGAAAAGTCGGGGTG